GGCCCTCCGCCCAAATCCTTTTAGCCTTTTTGCCTACTCGAGGTCCTCTATCGAATGATGTATGAACGAACGAAATCGGAGCCGGACACCTGGGGCGGTTCCCTCGTAAGCTCAAACTAAGTCAGCCTCTGAAATAAAAGTGAAGGAGAGCAGACCAGTCGTCATCACTGCACTCATCAAACAAAAGAGATAGGTTGATTGAAACACACATTTTTAAAAATAAAAAGTTACAAGAAAAAGCGGAAGAAGGGTCGTCTATCCATTAATCGGATCAAATAGTCCCTTACCAGTATGAAAGATAATAAAACTGGGAAGGAATACAAGATTCCAAGTCTAAGCCTTGACCAGAGCGTTGCATCATATATAACAGAAAACAACTGGAGACTCTGGTCGGGAAATAGGAATTTTTTTAGTTTATAAATACCTTTTCATAATTTCAATGTTAACGCTTAACCTTTTGTATTTGATACCAAATAAACTTAATAATGAAACAATCAATAAATAAATAAATAAATAACAATAAACAGACGACGTCACAACACTTTGTGAAACGACTAAACTTAAACGCGTAATGACGCTAATATATATGTATATATTACAAAATAATGGGCCAGCCCATTATTCATAAAATAAAACGTCATAGAATAATAACTTAACACTTTCACATCCATTGTGGCGCCACACATGACCCCGCTTCAGCAGTCGATCTATTTTGTAATGATATGCCCAACTGAATTTCGAAAGATGATCAATACAATTCAAAATCCATTGGTATACAACATCGTTCGAAACAACATCTGGATGTGTTCTCATATCAATCAAATCAATTTGCAATCTGGTCATAACACCCAATGAAATAATCGGTTAGGAAACCACATGCTGCTTAACTGTTTGACGGACTTGACAAGCAACTTGTGTTGAATGAATAATTAATATAATATTATATAATAATAATAATTCCAAATTTCGATTCTGACCTGGTCAAAATTAAAATTCAACTTTTGGCCAGCCAAAGTTAGAATTCCAGTTTTGGCCGGCCAAATTCGAAATCTGGCCGAATTCTAAGTTTGGCCATAACATATATATATTCTCTGTTACTAAATGTAAATGGTTATTGTTCTAATGGATGTTCTAAACGGTTCTTCTAACTTTACTTGCTGTTTATTGTACCTTGTCTTTTTTTGTACGTACAAGCCGAGGGCTTTTCCTGTTTCCCTGCTTTGATTTAGGTTAAATAGAAATAAAAATGAAATGAAATTTATACTCGGATTTATGGGTACGTATTGTCTTTGAAGGTCTTGGTGTTGGTGCCCTATCAATGTTGATTCCAGTTTATCAATCTGAAATATCATCGAAAGAAGTACGCGGACGATTAATTTCACTTCAACAATTAGCTATAACGATTGGTATTGCCGTTAGTTTTTGGATTAATTATGGTATGTTAATTTTGTTTGAACTGTTTTTATTATAATTTTTCAATACTTACTCAGAATATATAACCTGATCCACAATAGTTGTAGTTGGATTTAAACCTTTCAACAAAACTTTCAGAATTAAATTAGCCCACGTTTTCTTTACTGAAGATAGTCGCATACCGCGGATGCTCGTTTTTTCAAATGAAAAGTCTACTTATGTATTTGTAAGAAGTTACTCACATCGAACAGTCAAAAGTTGGTATAAACTATTTATTAAGCAAAGTATTTATTTCACCATATCTACACGAAATCGGATAAACTATTATATAAATACAGATAGGGTATTCATATAGTTAAAAAAAGAAAACCCATCAAAGTGAGCAATAAGAAAATGAAACAAACAAAAAACTAAAAAAATATTAAAATGTTGGTGGCAAATGTTTGAGAAATGCCCCTATAATTTTAGGTTGAAACGTTTAGATCCGATGATATAGTTTAAGAGATGCATCGATATACAAATTCGAAATGTTCTCTACATGGTATCTCGTTGAGTGAAAAGTTAAAAGGTATAAGGAGACTTTCAATCCACGACTTACCAAAAGTTTGTCAAAAATGAATCAGTGTAAAAATGTATAGTTCTGATAAAAGAATAGAACCATTTTAGGTACCGAAGCTCACTTATCTGGTCAAAACAATGTCTCCTGGCGTTTACCATTAGCGTTACAAATAGTCCCAGCACTGATTTTGGGTACTGGTATTTTTTTCTTTCCGTTTTCACCACGATGGCTTTTGGATCGAAATCGTGATCAAGAAGCTATTCGAGTATTAGCCAGAATACGAACAGTTGATAGAGATGAACAAGATCCACATGTTCTACAAGAATATGCAGAAATTAAGCAAGATATACAAATGGAACGTGAACAATCCGTTCGATCGTATTCTGACTTATTAAAATATCCTCTACGCCGTCGCCTTATCCTTGGCATGATGATTCAAATATTTGCACAACTGTCAGGTATCAATACTGTGATGTATTATGCACCATCGATATTCCGACAAGCTGGACTATCAAGTGTAACAAGTAAACTTTTGGCTACTGGTATTAGTGGAATTGTGAATATCGTAGCAACAATACCAGCCGTATTATATATAGATAAATTAGGTAGAAGACCATCACTGATATCCGGAGCATGCATAATGGCTTTATCGATGTTAATTGTTGGAGGTGTGATGGGATCATATGGAACAATGCGAGCAGATGGAGAGGTGATTGTGATCGGAAGTGGTGCACAATACACGATTATGGTTTTTATCTTTATTTTTGTCGCTGGGTTTGCATATTCCTGGGGACCGTGTGGATGGTGAGTTATGTTTCGATGTAAAAAATCACCTTTGTAATGAATAGTTTCTTGTTTTTTAGGATTTATCCAACAGAAATATTTCCATTACAAATGCGCTCTAAAGGCACTTCATTGACAACAGCCGCATGTTGGTCAACAAACTGTGCACTATCCTTTGTTGTTCCAGTTTTAATTAAAAATATATGGTATGGTACCTACTTAATATCTGGCCTGGTTTGTGTTATAATGGCTGCCAGTGTATTTCTGTTTTATCCGGAGACAAAGAACAGAAAGCTTGAAGGCATAGATGAATTATTTCATGGATCAACTTTTGTCGGTTTATCCAAGAAAAAAATACAGTCTGATTATAAATTAAGCTGTCGATTTTAAATATCGATTTTGAATGTGCTGCTAGTCTTTCTACGTTCAAAATCAATGATGCAAAAATTTGATTTTTTGCCTTTCAAATAATGTAGTTCCAAATATTTGAATATTATAGATTTGTTATCTTCAGTAACTTAGGATGTTAGTAGTAAAATACTCTTTTATTCTTATCTTCACTTCATAATTTGCCATTGAATAGTTTCATGATCGTCAACAAAATTGTTAAAAAAAGTTGATTACCATTTTTCTTCCAAATCACAACAAATGCGAACGCATCAATTTCAAACTAAGTTCAATATAGAATAAACAATTTAAATTGTTTTATTGATGTATATTCTAATCAAAAGGAGTGAGCGGCTTGGACACGCAAAGCGACGCTTCCACGATCAAGATCTAAAATCAGATTGTGACAAAACGGTCTAGGCCATTTTGTAGAGCGTAGTCAACAGTATATAGAAACATATTTCTTCGTCGCCTATAGGCTAAAGATATTCGATAGGCGTTTGTAGACATCGCGTATAAAGCGTCTTCACTGAGCTACTTTTGTGCAGTTCAGGAATTGCTAAGTTTGTCACTCGAAGTCGTCTTCTTTGTTGCTCAATATACTATCCTATAGAAAGTTTATTTTAGTGGTTGAAAAACATTTTTTCGGTTCTTCCTTTTCTGATAACAATTGAAACAATAGTCGATAATTCATGATGCTACGCCGTTACCTGAAGATCTTTTTGTAAATTTTCATCCAAGTTATTTAGTATATTTCTGCTAACAAAGTGATGTTTTATAGCCAATTTTTGACGAGCTATCTAACCCACTAACTTTTATTGTGCTCAAAAACAAAATGGATAAATCCCGTTCATGGAGGTCGGGTCTTCGTTCCAAGCCGGAGAAAGGCTAGCAACTGAGATTCTCAGATGCTAGCGGCCAAGTATCTCCTCTGAAAAAGAAACGTAAACATCGTCAGGTGGTCTAGAACACCCGAGAATTTCATGTTTGTTGTAGATTCTTCCCTAGTGAAAAACTTACTCGAATCTTACTAAGATCTTAGTAAGATTTTGTATTAGCCTACGTAATTTAACGCATGTATAAATATTGTTGATAATGCCAAATATTCTGAGTATCTTCATCAACTTCATCAAATCGTTTACTGCATGGAGAAAACAACAAAAGCGATTTACCTACTATTCTGGAAACCGACTTTTAAACAAAAACTAAGAAAACTTCAACTTTTCGTATGTCTGAAACATGAACAAAACAAAACAGACGATGTTATTGGCGGATCTACATATTAATACATCTTTCATATCAGTTCAATTTGAAGTAATGTACTAGTTTCATACTGTCTCATACAACTACCTTTAGTATGAAACTACTTTTCAAACTCTCATTCACACTTCTTATCTAAAACGTATGTGTTTGCACTGAACGAATGTTGAAATTTCTGTTCTAAAAAGTTCGCGGAAGAGTCGCATCACGAGCAAAAGCAATATAATTGTGTTTTCATTCTAAACTTTTTTTTGACAGACATACTTGAACATGGCAATTAACATATTGAAAAGTAGAAGGTTAATGAGTACCATATGAAATGCTAGCAGTACATGAGTAGCTATTGATCAACCCTCATCAGGTGAAGCTAAAAAAGCAAAATAGCAAACCTGTTACGTGTAACCCACAGGTGTGGCCTTGTAACTCTACTACCGTAGTGAAATTCCGGGACGAAATTTTGACGTTTTATTCTTCTTCGAGTTTTTTAATGAAACAATTCTTAGAGCTGTGCAAAATATGTACAACTGTCGAACAAACTTTTCTAAATCAAATGAAATGTGGCCGATTACTGCGCGATCTTTTATTTAGAAAATATAAAGAAAATACGAAATATCCTTTTCTAACTTTATTTAAAAAAAGTAGTGTTTAGTATTTTCTTTGCATTTTCTAAACAAAAGATCGCTTGGAATCCCAACCCATTTCATTTGATTTAGAAAAGTTTGCTCGACAGTTGTACGTATTTTGCACAGCTCTAAGAATTGTTTCATTAAAAACCTAATTTTCACGACGGTAGTTGAGCTAGTTGGCCACTCCGCCATACAACAATTATAGAATGTTTTATTTACAATCTAAGTAGCTAAGTTCATCACCAACATTACCAAACATTAAATAATAGACAGGACAGGCAATTTTTCGAAATATTTCACGACCAGTAAATTCTAATTTATCAATAAACATTGATCGAGATGTAACACCATAAGCTGTCATAACAATGCCAATTAAGATCATAAAAAATAATAGATCTTTGGGCTAAAAGAGTTTAATAGATCAGTTATCACTTATAAAAGAACTGTGTTAAATGTATACCATTTTTCCATTAGCAACTAAATATGATCCTAAAAATGGAATAACATTAATAAATGATAGAGAACGAAGTATCCATATTTCTAAATCATATGCCATCACGATTCTATTAACAATAAAACACAGTAATATTCAATAAAATTATGAAAATTATTCAAATTTACCTTGCAGCATAAAAACTATCCGATTGCGATGCATCTACAAATCTGAGAATCATCCCGATATAAAGTAAAATATACGATAATACACTAAGTTGTTTAAAAAAATGATTAAAATACGTTTTACATTTTCCCCAAAATGTTAAACTATTCTGAGTTAAAAACTGCAAAAAGAAAAAAGAATACGAGAATGAAATAATTGGTTAAGTTTTTTTATAATATAAATAATAGTCTTATATAACGAAATTCTTCAATCATCATACAACTACCCATAATATATAATAATATTTCTGTCCAATTTATTGCTGGAGTTCCATTAGTCGGTTGTTCAAATTTAAATAATAAAACATAACTGAATAATAATACAAAATATATATATTGTACCTAAAACAGAATATCACAAATTACATAATATGATGATGTTAATTCAATATATGCATAAACTTTACACAATGATATAAAAATTTTGTTTGCAATGCTTGATGAAAATGGATGAATGGTAATAATATTTTATTGAAATAGCGATTATTTATTAATTTTGAATGTGTCAATTCGTATGGATCATTGTAACTGATACCATTTTTTTTAAACCTTAAATAACAACACCAGATTTCCATAGATGAAAAAATTAAACGTTTTCTCACTAACCTTCGTACACGTTTCTCCTGTGTATTTTCTCTCTGCTGAATGAAAATAAGAATTTTTTTACACAAATTATGTATATACAATGTGTTGTTTTACCTGACGAAATCGAATCAATGCGGGTGCCAATAATCCACGTGTAATGAAACCAAAAACTAACGCTGGTTTTGAATGTTTCTTGGATTGATCTGGATATATTTTATCATACCAAATATTATGTAATGCTTGTAGACAATTTGATTGATCAATAAAAAAAATCATCCGCTTCAACAGATACCTGGAAGATCAAAAGTATTGTCAAATTAAGTTAAAGCCACAAAGTATTGTTATATGCATGATAAGTGTAAAAAATATTTCACCTGTAGATATGTAACACCACCAAATAGATCAATTTGTCTAATAGTCAATTCATTTGCTTTCTTTGGATCATTTTCATGGCATAATTCGAGACAGTTAGTTGTACAATGTTCAAAATAGTTGACTGCATTTCGATATTCATCTTTTATATCATTATAGGGTGCAATTTGTAGATAATATTTTAATATTTTTGTCGCAATCAATGCTGCACAAATACGATTTTTCATATGTGCCATGGATACTTTAGCCATATCAATACGCTTCATAAGAATTGCCCACAAGAATAGATCACGATAAATAGTATCAATTGCTAGCTGTTCCGTTTCATTGTCAGTATTGTCATTATCTGGCAGATTGCCACCTTGTTCTCCGTCTCGAGCATTAAGCACAGCGTTTTTCTTTCTCTTATGTTTCTGCACAGTTTCATCATTTCTGTAACACAATCCTTCTTCTTCATCATCAAACGATTCATAATATAATGTTTCCGTATAATCACCCACGACTATTTTCAACACTTCATTTAAACTATCTACAGATTCTATTTCTTTTACTTTAAAAGTTTCATCCATTTCAATAATGTCTTTCAATAAACAACTATTCTATAAAGAGAAAAGTTTGACAAATCGCGATCATTATCAAGAACCTTGTATGATACATAAATCTCACATAAATGCACTAATCCCCTCCCTATAACAGAAGACCACTGTCGATTATATGACTTGAAAGCCAAATAGAAGACCATGGTCTTCTGTTATGTCCACGGAAAAAATCGGAAAATGCCCTAGTCTCTGTTATAATTCATTTAAACTATTATTAAGTTTTCTCGATAGGTTTTTTGTGCACAAAAAGGGCAGAAGCATGAGAAGAAAAGCGTAAAGAGAGGGTTACAATCCCTAAAAGCCATCAAACAAATCAGTTTCAAAACAGGGAAAGAGAAAAGGTCTATGATCTATCGTCATGACGTATTAAAAAGCGTTCAGGACGTACTTTTTCTATATATTCTTTTCTTTTATATCAGTGAATACATGTATTCGAATAAATAAGGGTTTTTCGATATATATAAATTAAAATTTGGTTGTCATTTATTCTTTTCTCTTTCTTTTAACTTTTGAATCCTCTCCCCTACTCTATCGTGTTGTTTTATACCAAATGTTCATCCTAAAAGCTTACACATATAACGCCAAAACCCGTGACAAAATACACATTTATTTGGCTGGTTGTTAGCCAGTTCTGTGGAGTGGCTCAGTTTCATCTAACAAAAGAGCTCACTAAGTGTCACGCGTGGTTTTCATCACTTCGCGCGATCGATCAGACCTATTTTCGTTCTCATTGTTTTTTTTTTAATAAAAGTTAAAAATTTATTAATTTTATTAAAGTTATCGGGTTTTGTGGATTATACTTGTTAGTCATACGGTATCAAGTATCCAAAACTTGTTATTGTTATTGTGGTTTAAGTCAAGGATCTCATTATGCCTCGCAAGAGGTTAAAACCACCGCCAGAGTTTTTTAAAAGTCCAACACCTACAAGTCAATCATCAGCAGAAGAAGAAGAGCAAGAAAGTCGTATAAATCCTAGACAAGACTTTGTTTGTCATTTATGCAACACTAATGCATCAGTTGTGGGCTTCAAATGTAAAGCATGTGCAGAATATTTCCATTTAAAATGTTTTCATGTCAACGATCACGACGAAACAAATTTAACTATTAATGCTGCCTTGTTGAAACAAGAACTATATTGTAATAGTTGTAAGCCGAATTATACTAATAAGTTATTAGTCTCCAGTGTTGAATATAGTCAGACAAGTAGTCCAGCTAATGAACAACGGAAGATGATTAAAAATTTTATGACTAATATTGAGAAAGGGCTGAATGACTTAGAAAAGAATCCTTCGCACCAGTACTGTCAGTACAACCAGCAGCGATAAGCATATTTGTTCCTCAATATGCTTATCCTCATCCACGTGGGGGCTTTGTAATACAGTTTACTACGACAGAAATTCAGCAGCAGATGATGAAAAGCTTTAAAGAAGGACAATGGGATAAAACAACATTCGGTGGTGATTTCAATGTCTATGAGCCAAAAGATAATTTTAGCGTGGTATTGAAAGATGTTCCTAGTGGTACACTGTAAACTAGAAAATGACTTATAGAGTATCATAAACGATATTCTAGGAAAGTCCATACAAATTCATAGACGTATTTCTACTTTCTTGAAAATAAACTGTTGATATTCAAGTTTCGATTTTCTGTAGGAAATCAAATTGAATTTCTAGTATTTAGAAAATCAAGCATTTTCTAAAAGTTTGAAATTCGACAGATGAATAATAAAAGTTTGAAAATGCTTTACCTTTTTCAAAGTCGATTTTCTATAAAATAGAATTTCAAAAAAATTTACAGTGTACCAACGATGATGCACTTATACAAAGTATTTTAGCAGCAAACCCGAACTTAAATTTTTCTCTGAATGTCATACAAGTAAACAGACTAGTTCGAAGGGATGTCTTTCCAGTACCATATACAATATCTGTCCGATTGATAGTAGAGACGGAAGAGCTAAAACAGAGACTCTTGAACTTGAAACATCTATATATTGAAGGTCATCTTTGTGTAATTCAGCAGTATCAGAGTCGAATAAAGCCGGTTCAATGTACAAACTGTTGGAAATTTAGTCATGTAGCAACAGCTTTTCGGGTAAAAACGAGATGTAAAATGTGCGGTGGAGAACATTCAGATGAGAATTGCTCATCGAATGATATGACATGTAGCAATTGTAATTTGGCTCATCCAGCTGACTCAGCGTTGTGTTCAAAATACTTAGAGGTGGCAGCAAGAATAAAAAATCGTATGTACAACAATGACTAGTGAGTTAAAGAAGTTGAAGGTGTACATTAATAATACTCAAAGAAGCCAAGAGTATAGTAAGATGATTCTTGAGAAAATGGTTGAGAACAAGTACGATCTATGTGTTATTAGTAGGGGTGGCACATTTTCTTTACTGATGCGTTACTTTACTGAGTAAAGCAACGCTTTCAAATATCACTGTATGAGTGACGAACAACCGAAAATGTATTGTTTTATCACCTTGCGGACACAATGCGACTAAAGCGTTACTATATTATGCGTTACTGGTAACGAGTAACGCAAGCGTTACTAGAAAAGTAACGCAAAAAAGCGTTAAAGTAACGCAAATAACGCTGCGTTACTCGTTACAAAAGCTATGAAAAATAAACGCATCTCGTTAGTAGTTACTGGTAACGAGTAACGCATGCGTTACTCGTTATCAGTAACGCAATAACGCATGCGTTACTCGTTACCAGTAACGCAGTAACGCATGCGTTACTCGTTATCAGTAACGCAATAACGCATGCGTTACTCGTTATCAGTAACGCAATAACGCATGCGTTACTGCGTTACCTGTAAAGAAACGGTAAAGCGCCACCCCTAGTTATTAGTGAACCTTATTGGAACACTCACAAATTTGTCCCACCTCAGTACAATTACATAATTAAAAACACCTATGTCGAGTACAATGGTCTCATGTTATATTACAAAAATGATTTAAAAATACGTCGATTACAACATCTTGAGACTGTTGACAACAATATTTTGATCATTATGATTCAGACGTTGAATGATCCCATTATACTAGTAGCTATTTACAATGAGCCCAACAGCACTAAAGCCCTGAAACAATTATACAAAATCTACTCAAAGATAAGGCAGATGTCTCGGCATATAATATTTTGTGATGATATAAATGCGAGAAACACGGAGTGGGGTGATAGAAGAACCAATTCAGTTGGAGAGTTCATATCAGCATTTAGGGCCGCAAAAGATTTACATTTACTAAATGAATATGGAGAAATTACGTTTGAGAATACAAGAGGATTCAACAGCATCATTGACTTATCATTTTGCACAGATGACGTTTTAGAATATGAACCGAGATGGAGAGTACAGCC